GACACACACACACAGACAACCTCTCGTCAATATGCGTTTTTCGCATTGCATTGCTTCAAAAAACGAATAAAAAACTTATTTTATCTTGTGAGAATGTGCCTTTCTCAGATTAAGGCCACTATGCTTCCGCTGGATTATCATCTTCAAAGATTTGTGTTTATTTAGCAATAATTTTTATCCAGTTTGAATGGACGAAATGCAGTGTAGCTTCACATGAATAAATAATTTTGTTCGGTACCGGTGCATTTTCCAGAGATATTCACCGGACAACGATTCAGATGCATCATCGTCTTCAACGACAGCTAGGGCATCTGCAACAACATTATCATCATCGTTATCAACAATGCCAACAACAGCAGCAACAACAACAACAGCAACAGCAACGTCCGAGATTGAAATTACTGAGGTTGCCAAAGAGGGCGAAAAAGCGGACCCATCGCAATTTGAGCTTTTGTCAATGATTGGACAGGTAAAATTCGAATTTTTCTGGAAATACCAGCAAAAAAATTTATACACCATGTTTTTCCATCTTTTAATCATGTTGATTTCTCCGGGCCATCCAATAATTTTAAAAAGCCAAAACTTTTGATCCATTGTATCCTGATGTAAATTTTCAGTTGAAATTTGTGCGGAAGGCCAGGTGTGAACTGATTTGAAATTTATAGCATTGAAAAATACAGCTCCAAGCTGAATTGTCCGGCAAAACACACATTAAACAAACGCATTGTCTCACCATATTGCTTTTCTCGACTTTTCCAGAGGTGCAAAAAAAAACAGTATTCTAGCATCTGCTTCCTGAAAAAAGACGGACAGCAGACGCACTTTGCTTTAATGGCACTTGCACAATTGCTAATTTTGCAAAAATTCTTATTGCTTATTTAACCGGAAGTGCAAAAAAAAGGAACACATTTCCAGGGATCGTTTGGAAAAGTCTTGTTAGTGAAAAAGACCCGTGGACGTGATGCCGGACAGCTGTTCGCAATGAAAGTCTTGAAAAAAGCTGCCCTCAAAGGTGATTAGAATGCATTTTTGACAAGAAGCTTGCACAGGCATTTGTGTGTTCAAAAAGAAAACATTAAACTTAAAAGAGCTAAACTATCTTTTGATCTAAAATTGCGAAATCAGAATCTGTTTTTAATTTGTACAGTTACCAGAAATATCATATTATTTGATTAACCTATCCCACCGCCTTTAAAATCTTAAATTGTTTCCAAAAATTTGATTAAAAACTTCCTTTTTTGGAAGACTAATTCACCAAAGAGACCAAGCGCCTCGGTGATATGTGCAGAGCGGAAAAGCATCTAACTGCGGCCCAAAACCTCGGTGAAATTTTTGGAAAAGTTTTGCTATTAGGCCAAATGTCTCCCCTACCTCTACTTTTTTTTCTGCTCGCTAGTTTGGCGTCTGCCCTCCTTCGCCTACTTTTGATTTGTCCACACAGAAGTTAGGATACATTTTGGATCCACTTCGTGCTGAGGATACATTTTGTGATTCTAGTAGACACCGCGGGTCGTGCGGATAGCTGTTGATGCGTAGTTTAATTCTCCATCTATGTAGCTGGCATCTTTTGCAGCTGCTTTGAGCAGCGCTGCATCGCTCGCTGGCCAGCTAAACGATAATCCTAATGTTCCTTTTCGGTTGCTGAAAGGGTTGCGAGTTTAATCGGTTTCCGCGATAGAAGCAGACTGACATGGTTTGAGCCGTTTCGAGTTATCCTTGTTCTTTGTGTTGAGCATCATCATGTCCAATCAAATGCTACTAACCCCATCGACTGGAAAGATGTTTTGTGGTAATTTTTTACAGATTTTTTGTTAGATTCAGGTAGTATCGTTCTGAAGCATCCAACTGCGGCTTATGCAAAAGTTATTTTACGTTGTAAATTTCAATTAAATCTTTTATAGTTCGAGATCGCTACCGTACCAAAGCGGAGCGCGATATCCTGGCACGCTTTCGCCACCCATTCATTGTTCGACTTCATTATGGTAATAGGTTTTTTCTTCAGATAAATTATTTAAAACAACTTTTCCGGTACAGCAACAATTGTATGTCGTTTTAACAATTCTAGAAAAAAAATGCCAGATGAATCTTCTTTTTTTTAAAATTTTTTGAAGTGTAGATTAGAAAGATCGTGATCCTGAAATTGCTTGAACTTCGTCCTTAAACTAAAAATTCTTACTCGAAACATTTTCTAGTGCCTTCTCTGCTACAAAAAAGGAAAACATGTGAGATATTATAAGTGTCCGAAGGACCAAACTGGTGCAAGTGGCAGCTGCAACACTAAGCTCCTCCAAATCAGTTTTCCGAGCGATTTTCGTATTCCTGATGAAGAAAATCGTAAGCATTAGCCAAGGCAATGGAACGAAAAAGAGAATAAGCAAAAAAATAGCCGAAAATAAAACGTGGAAAAAAAACTTATTCCGATAAGTTCCAATCGTAGTACCCCACTGAGGAGCATACATGGGAAATAAAGGATACAGTTTTTATGCGTTTTTGCATATATGTAAATTGCAAAAACGCATATTGAGAAGAGGCTGTGTGTATGTGTGTGTGTGCCTGTGTGCCGCGAAAAACGCATTTTGTCGAGAGGCTGTCTGTGTGTGTGTGTGTTCGGAAGCGAGTGCATTTTGTCATCCACTTTCATCTCTGCAACCAAGAAAGCTGG